CAATCTGCCGCGAGAACCTGGGGCCGTGAGCCCCCCTTGCCGTGGGCCACCGCTAATCTGCCGCGAGAAGCTGGGGACGTGAGCCACCCTTGCCGTGGGCCACCGCTAATCTGCCGCGAGAACCTGGGGCCATGAGCCACCCTTGCCGTGGGCCACCGCTAATCTGCCACGAGAACCTGGGCCCGTGCGCCCTCCTTGCCGTGGGCCACCGCTAATCTGCTTCTGTCCCTCTAGTTCTGCCTCTGCCTCTGTCACACAGATTTGAGGCAGGGTGGCGTCCTGCGCTGGCAGAATCCACTCGAGAGTCACCGTGCTGTTGGGGCCTTGGGAGTTTGCCCCTCCTGATGCTAAGTAGTAAGTATCCCTTAGACGGCGTCTCATGGTTTATCCTTTCCCCAACTGAGGGGCATGTGGGCTGCTTCCAGTTTCTGGTGAGATCCGAATACGACTGAGGCTGCCGCCCCTGCACAGAGGCAGACACTCTGTACCTTAGGAGAGAAGCACCAACTCCACTGCAAACGGCACAGCCCCACGGACAGCACTCACGTGAAGGCGGTGCAGGCAGCCCAAAGAACCAACTGAGTTTTGGCTGCATTTATTATCAATTCATGTTGATTAAACGCTCAGATTTATAACTCATGATTTTGATGAATAACAGTGGGAAAAACTATTGTTTAATAAACGTAGTTTGAAAGGCCAAAAATTTCAAAACATGAAGTCCACCAGACGAGAAATAACAGAAGTCCTTCTGAGTACAAAGGAGAAGCCAGACCCGCTGACTAGGGAGTAAGGGCTCTCCTCAAAAGAACCCTTTTAGAGACAAAGGGTAACTAGCGAGACGGGACGTATTCAGCAAAACAGCAAGGCCACAGAGAGGCAAAGGAAGCTCAGGACTTCCACTTCAACTAGGCACCCCAGTTTAGAAAATAAAGCCCTAATTATCAGAATCCTAAAACGAATCATGTTCTCCCTGTATTTCATCCTAGTTTGAAGCAAATAAAAGAATATGTATTAACATTACTTAGAAGTATCTCATAAAACTACACAGGTACATTTAAAATTTTTTTTAACGAGATGCGGTCTCAGTATGTTGCCCAAGCTGGTCTTGAACTCCTAGGCTAAAGTGATCCTCCTGTCTCAGCCTTCTAAGTAGCTGGGATTATAGGATCTTTAAAATCTTATTACAACTAATTATAGAAACTATACCAGGAAGTTTTAAATGAAGAATCAGAATAGCTTTATTATGAAGATTTATATATTTTTAAGCAATTCATGACAACCAACAGCCACTGACAAGGTTATCTGATACTTTCAGTCAAAACTCCTCAATCTCCAGCCTGAGCAACACGGCAAGACCCTGTCTCAAAAAAACCCCACAACCCCCAATCTTTATATATCATTAAATGTTCTAATGAGGAACTACTAGAGGCAGATTAATAGGAACAAGATGACTAACCCAGGGATGCACGAATCCAACAGCGTGAGCGGATGGTCACAAGAATAGCCCCGTCCTTCCTAAGCAGCATCAGACTCAGTCACCCAAAACTCAAAAAGCAAATCTACTTACTTATTTTACAGCATCTCATTAATAGGTCAAAATGTGTACACAAATGCTTACTTCAGAAGCTTTTCAAAAGCATCCAAAAAATCTTCACTTGTCATTATTGTGCAGAATATGTTTCTCCGGATGTCTGTGTTCATCCTCTGCTTCCGGGCGAGTTCTAGGATCTTTGAGCTGACCTAGATGGAAGCACGATGAATGGACAAGTCACACACATGTCTCCATGGAAACTGCTTCCTGAGAGATACCACACTGTACTTCAGTGTCACTGAATCCAACTGTGAGGTCTATGTGGGCAGATCAGCGTCAGCACCACGTTCACTCTCGGGCAACGCCCCTCTGTGCAAGGGGGACACACAGGGAAGCCACAGCCGCTGGGGAGAAAACACTCATGGGGGAGGCTTCTCAGTTGTGGTTCAACCTCAGGGCAAGTGACGATGAATAAAGCAGAGAGCCAGTCACTGGCAGAGCCTGGGGAACCGTGACCACCACAAGTGACACAGAATCTGGGACAGGGAAGGACATGAGGGGGTAACGAGGGAAGTCTGGGTGAAAAATGGACTTGAATTTCCACAATGTGAAATCCATGGCCTGTGGCCTAGAATGCACAGCCCAGGCAGGGCAGCACGAGGGGTCTCGGCAATGGGCTCCTGCCCCGTGAGCGTTCAGGTCCTCATGCACTCCCCTGCCCCATGTCATTCAACTTTCAGATCTTTTAAAGTCCAGTAAAAAGATACAACAGAAACAGAATAATTACATCACAATGTAATATTAATAGCAATTTCTATTAAGCCTCCAAATAAACCTTGTACATTTCAGTGACCATTCAAGAACAGTAAGAGAGCTGTTCCAGGTAAGGCTGTGATCACACATCACACGGGGGGGTGCCACTGCCTGGCAGCTTTGAGCATGGGCGTGCCTACCGTCCCCGCAAGCTGCTTCTGCAGGTGTGTATGGTGACTGTTGTCGATCATCGGGGCCCCACTCCAGGCAGACCCCACAATCCACCAGCGACCCGTCTGCTCCGCATTCAAGATGCTGTCCCAGGAGACGCGAAGCTGAGTCTCAGAACCTGAGCCGGCGCTGCGGACCTGATTAAGAGAGAAGAGCTAATGAAACGCTTTTAATTGGTTCATATTCTGTACTTCCATCCCTGGTGGCTTTGTTTTTGACCATGACATTTCTGGTGCATGAATACTGGAATACTGGATGATTAACCTGTTTGGAAAAATGCCAAAACTAGCAGTAAACTCGGTGTTTTGTGTTTGGGAGTCCAGCACCCCAAACGCGTTGTTTGGAAAGCTGCCCCAACAGGGGAAAGTGACAGAGCTGCCTCAGGCTCAGTGGCAGGGCAGTACATGCCTGGAAGAGCCTGGGTCAAGGACGATGTGGACTTGAGATGACAGGGGCTGAAAGACTCACTCCGGCAGGGAGCTGCTCGGTCTCCATCCTGGCTGCATGTCAGAGACGGTCCAAGGACCTGCGTCATCCGATTTCCTTGGTCCAGGTGGGGACCCGGCCTTCTCTTAAAGCATCGGATGATCCAATGATGCAGCCTAAGTTCAGCACCCGGGGCAAGGCAAACAGGATGCTCACCCAACATGGGCTTCCCCACGCATGGACACTCTGCACGAGCGCGCCCAGACCACTGGGAGAGCCCCCGAGGAAAACCGAGCAGCCTTCCCTCTGCCTCTGAGCACGCTCTCACTCACCAGACACCGCCCTGACTTGCAGGTCTGACTATTTCTTGATTTTCACGGCAGGCTCATGCTGACAGGGAAGCTCTGAGCAAAGCAGAACTGAAAGTTCCTTGACTTACCAAAGCTCTCTGCAGTTTCCTCAGCTTCTCCACAGGCTCGGGGTCATAGCCTGGAATTTTGCGCATGTCATTGTTCTTCAGGGCCAACATCGTCTCTAGCATGAACCGAATCTTTAAGAAAAATGAAAAAATTGAAAGTCCATCATTTCAAACAGTCTAAACGGCCCATTCAAGTTGGCAAGAAATCGACCACACCTGATGCGCATGGCCGCCACTGCCACGATATAAAGTCAGGACGGCCGTTAGGCAGAGACGGTTTAAACTAGTCTCAGCCGCTTACTCAGGGCTACATAATACCTCAAAACAGAAATGTGTCCCCCAACGTCAAGTGGGAACCCAAACTCCCCAGAGATCTCACTTTCCCTTCTGCTCGCCACACACCTCGCCCTTCCGCACCGTCCACACCTCCTCGGCCGCCCTGGCCCCTACTGTGCTCCTGCTCCCACCCTGGCCTCCAGTGACCTGCTCTGGACATCTTCTCTCCTACCACTGGCCTTGTAATTTTTTAAACTTTAAAACTGGAAGTAATGTCATACTTACAGAAAAGTTGCAAGAACAGCACAAAGAATTCCCACATACCCTCTGAGATGTCCCCAAATGTCAACTTCTTATTGATACAAATTCATATACCATAAAACTCACTCATGTAAGGTATATAATTAGGTGGCTTTTAGTACATTCTGTGCAACTATCACCACAATCAATTTCAGAACTTTCTCATCACCCCAGAAGAGAAACTCCAAGCCCATTAACCACCATTCCCCGTTTCCCCGACTCCCCAGCCAGCACCCCAGCTCTAGGTGGCCACTAATGTACTTTCTGTCTTATTCTCCATTTTAAACCACCATTTAACCCGCTGCTCCCATTCCCTTCTCCAGCCCCCTCCTCTTCAGACTGGTTTCTCCGGTGACCAGGATAAGCCAGTAAGGACCGCTGTCACAATTCAGCCCAAAACACAAATCCCTTCCTCCTCTTGCTGGTCCTCAGCATCCCACACGGGCGTGAATTCTTCCTGAGGACACTAGGGGTCCCCGGCTCCTGGGACCACCCTCATTTCCTTCTCACCTGCCAGCTCTCCCTCCTCCCTGCAGCTAAACGTCAGTGCTCCTTAACCTGAAGGTCCTCTTCACAGCCTGCCCCGCCAGGCAAGTCCACCCACGTCCACGGCTCCCAGGACCCCCTCTACGAGAGCAGCCCGGAATCCCTTCCGCCCACTTTGTTCACAGCTAACCCAGTCTTTCCAAAACGGAGGTGCCTGTCCTTCTAAATCCTCACCTCCTCCTGCATGGTCCCCTGTGCCCCTGACAGGTGACCCTGAGCCCTCCTTCCCTTCACCCCAATCCACATGAGGTCTAGTCACTTCTGACGCCCATGTCCACACCTGCTGCCACGATCCCGACATTTGCCACCACCTACTCCCCAGCTCCTGCAAAACTCCTCCTGACTCCAACCACCTTGCACCTCTTTCTATCTTGGAGTCTAAGTGACCATCAGAAGGAAAACTCCAACCTGTCATTCAGCTGCTGGGACCCTTCTGAGGCCCCCAGGATAAATCCTTGATTCTCTGCAATAATTAACAAGGGTCCAGAGACCTGGACTCTGCCTTTTTCTCTTGTGACGGCCCCTCCAGGCTCTTACACTAACCCTTTTCGGGTTCTTCCCCAAAGGGTTTCTCAGGAACACACGGTTCCACCCATCTCATCATCTGAACAGCACACAAGGTGGGAGCTGAGATCAGTTCCTGTCTTACAGAGGGGGAAACTGAGGCTAAGAAGACCCAGGTTACGCTGCTGTCAAGTGGCAGAGCCCGAAGTCCAACCCAGGCTTACCCTAGAGTCCCAGGTCCTGTGGCCTCCTTGGTAAATATGTTTTGCATAAATGAATGTTACATAAATCAATTTTTAAATTCACAAAATATTTTCTGAGTTCTTAGTAAAGGAATAAGGTCCATTCACATATTAAAGCCAGAAAACGGGACGAGACAGAAGAAACAGAAATCACTAGGAAAGGAAGAGTGTAATATTTACCCCAGATACTGATTTCTAGGTTCTGGCCAGTTTGTGGGCTTTAGGGACTTAGGAAGCAGATCAAGTGTTGCACGCGTACCCTGGTCTGGTCCTGAAACTCGCTGCTTGCCCTGCTGGCTCTAGTCTGGGCTTCAGTGATCAGTTCCTTAAGTGATAAAGCATCATCTTTTCTCAGTGAAAAACCCACGTTTTTCAGCATTAACAAGATCAGTTCAATATCTTTTTCGGTGAAAGTTCCAATCAGTTTTTTCAAAATGTCGAAGATGAGGAGAGACTGAACCACGTGGAAGTTGTATAAATGGGCGAGGATGGTGAACAGGTTGTCACACTCTTTCCCTTCGCTTCCATGTTTATAGATGGCATCGAACTTCCTCACCACCGCCTCCAGAAAGTGGGCACCAACCTGAAAGAACCGAACAGAAAAAAGATGATTATGTTATTCCTAGAAACCTTCCTTTCTCCTTCAACACACAGAACTGGCACTTTCTAAATTAACAAAGTGTCCACAAGGCAGGGCATTCCAACAAGGCATCCCTCAGCAACCCAGAGCAGCCAGCCAGAGCACCCCAGCCTGGATGCAAGGGCACCTTCCTCTTGTTAATATCAACAACAAACGGGCATTGTTTGGCCAGCAGCCGTTCTGACTCCTTGGGAAAAATAAAACTGTTAAAAATGATGTTAAAAATACATCTACATCTCTAAAAATGTTCTACTACTGGCCAGGTGCGGTGGTTCACGCCTGTAATCCCAGCAATTTGGGAGGCGGAGGTGGGTGGATCACGAGGTCAGAGATATCGAGACCATCCTAGCTAACATGGTGAAATTCCGTCTCTACTAAAAATACAAAAAAAAAAAATTAGCCAGGCGGGGTGGTGCACGCCTGTAACCCTAGCACTTTGGGAAGCTGAGGTGGGTGGATCACTAGGTCAGGAGATCGAGACCATCCTGGCTAACACAGTGAAACCCTGTTTCTACTAAAAATGCAAAAAAAAAAAAAAAGAAAATTAGCAGTGCGTGGTGGTACATGCCTGTAATCCCAGTTACTCGATAGGCTGAGGCAAGAGAATCGCTTGAACCCAGGAGGCGGAGGTTGCAGTGAGCTGAGATCATACCACTGCACTCCAGCCTGGGTGACGGAGTAAGACTCTGTGTCCAAAAAAAAAAAAAAAAACTGTGTCCAAAAAAAAAAAAAAAAAAGTTCCACTACCTAACAATACTCATTTCTTAAAAGATTTTTTGCAGATTTTTACCCCAAATTAATTTCTTACAAGGAAGCAATACAAGTGATTTCTAAAATAGAAGAACGCAACACATTCTGAATATCAGAGTATATATCAGAGCCAAATAGACAGGTACTTAATAACCTCTGGAAGGGCCCCAGGTGCCACAGAGCAGAGCCCTACTTTCCCAGGGCTGAGTCTCTGGCACTAAGGTAGCCTGTGAATACACTCACTTGGCTCAGCCAGTGGTCTGAGAGGCACTGGGCCCTGAGGGGGACCAGCAGGTAAACCAGACACAAACCTGAGGGGCGGAACTGGGGCGAGGAACTGCCAGGCCTGGTGGAGCTAAGCAAGGCCTAAGTGTTTTCCTTGTGCTATTCTGGTACATTCTGTCCTGAATTCCATAACTGTGGACTGAAGGATGAGAAGACCAGGAAGTGGGTCTGTGTGGTCTTCAGCAAGATCCTGGACCTCTGTTTTTTCAGTGTGTAAAACAGAGATAATAAAACCTGAAGGCAGAAACAGTAGTTTTCAATCTTGCCGGCAACACTATCGTGTCATCATTTTCTCTCAAATCTCAGCTTAAGCTAGGACTGGAGGGAAAAGGTGGAAGCAGGGACATGGTGGTGACACAGAGTGGCCCCCACAGCCCAGCCAGGAGATGATGGCCTAAACGACGCAGCTGCGCTGGACCAGGGATGAAGGGGCTGGGCACCACAGTGACGCATGGTAGTGCATGACACTGGCTATAAAAGTTGAAGGGTCTGTGACTCCCAGGTTTTCGGTCTGGGTAACCAGGAACTACGTGAGGGACAGCAACCTAGCGGATCTGGACAAAACCAGCTCAGCGGTTATTAAGCTTCAACAGGAGTCATCCAGACAGGACTGGATGGAGATGTAAGGGTGTCAGTGAAAATCGCAGGCAAGGCTGAGATCCACCAGACAGGCTTGAGTGTAATGGGGAAGTACACAGACATCATTGCTAGACTGCAAAAAAATCAATGCTAGAAGAATCCAGAGAAAGGCAACAGATTGGCAGAAGGCCACAGTGACTTACCGGAGGCTAGCTCTGATGGACTAGATACACACTTCAGTTCATAAAGACCTGAGAAAACTGTAGTTTCCAATTTAAGCCCCTTCAATGAAGATAAACTGGAAGACACATTCTATTATGGCTACTAGGTTATATTCAAATATAATTTTTAAAAGTAAATTAGAATTCTGTAGACATCAATAAAAATTCAGGCATAAAACATATTCAAGTATGTTGTGGCTGTGGACACCTTTCAACACTGTCTTCTTGGCCTTTAACGCCTTCGCTTTGGCTTCGGCTTTAGGAAGGGTAGGAGCTTCCTTCTTCGCTTTCTGTGCCATCTTCAAGTATGTTTTCTTTTTTTTGAGACGGAGTCTCACTCTGTCACCCAGGCTGGAGTGCAGTGGCGCCATCTCGGCTCACTGCAAACTCTGCCTCCCAGGTTCACGCCATTCTCCTGCCTCAGCCTCCCAAGTAGCTGGGACTACAGGCGCCCACCACCACGCCCGGCTAATTTTTTGCATTTTTAGTAGAGATAGGGTTTCACCATGTTAGCCAGGATGGTCTCGATCTCCTGACCTCATGATCCACCGTCTTCGGCCTCCCGAAGTGCTGGGATTACGGGCGTGAGCCACCGCGCCCGGCCATATGTTTTCAATTATGTAAATTACATCAAAATTTCTCAAAATTCTAAATCTGAAGTTCCATTTAATGTCTTCAAATTAAATATAACAGCATAACATTTAAGAATATAAGTAAAATTCATGTTGGTAAAGTTATTCAAGCACATCCTGTACGTTAATTCCGACGTGGAAATTTTAACACGAATATACATAGATTGGGTTTTTGAGTTTTAAAGGACTTACAGAAGCAGTTCAGCAGCTGACACCAACATCTTTAACACAGAATGTTTTTCTCAGTACAGCACTGAAGGCAGCTGAATGGAGCCAATGCCCTGAAAGCTTATCACATGCTGGCAAAGTTTCCGTGGATGTCACTAACTAAAGTACCGTAACGACTTCCGCTCAGAACAAGTCATTTCACTGTCCTTCATGCAATTAGCAAAGGTTTAAATGAAAGTAGGCCCAATAATCTCATGTTTTCCAATCAAGTGAATTCCTGATGCGCTGTGGGTGGTCAGGGTCTACTGCTTTTCCTGTAACTCACTGATATACTGCCTGCACTAAGATCATTCTGATGATTAAGTCAGCTGAAGCACACCAGTATCCTCTAGGAGGACAGGGAGGCACCAAGAAGTCACAGAATGGCCCTGATCATGGTAATCACAGGGCCCAGGAATAGCACCCAGTGATTCCGTCACTTTGTAATGACAAGAAAACAGACTCCCACATTCTCATACATGAAAATGAGGAGAGCTCTTAGAAATAAAAAATAAACAACAAAAGACGGTTCCCAAAGCAGCTGGTGCAGACTTTTTTTTTTTTTTTGAGATAGAGTCTCGCTCTGTCACCCAGGCTAGAGTAGTACAGTGGT